CAGACACGCAAAACTTCCTATTTGACAGGTAGGATGAAAACCATTCTAGGGCCGTACCAGAGATCCCCACCCAGTGCCTCAGTCTGTCTAACATGATGTTGTGATCAATGGTGTCAAAAGCAGCGCTAAGGTCCAGGAGTACCAGGACTGAGCACATGCCTTCATCAGCAGACATTAAAAGGTCATTGGTGACTTTAAGCAGGGCAGTCTCAGTGCTGTGGTACTTCCTAAAACCAGACTGAAACTTTTCAAATAATTTGTTATTTTCCAGTACAGTGAACAGCTGTTTGGACACAATTCTTTCTAGAATCTTTGCAATAAAAGGCAGTTTTGAAATTGGTCTAAAATTATGTGGGAGGGAGGGATCTAAACCAGGTTTCTTTAAAAGTGGATTCACGCAAGCCGTTTTAAAATACACACTGCGTCACACTGCGGCACACTATGACACACTATGACCCTCTGTGACACACTGCAATACACACTGTGTCACACTGCGTCACACTATGACCCACTATGACACACTGCAATACACACTGCGTCACACTATGACACACTATGACACACTGCAATACACACTGCGTCACACTATGACACACTATGACCCACTATGACACACTGCAATACACACTGTGTCACACTGCGTCACACTATGACACACTGCAATACACACTGCAATACACACTGCGTCACACTATGACACACTGCAATACACACTGTGTCACACTGCGTCACACTATGACACACTATGACCCACTGACACACAGCAATACACACTGCAATACACACTGCGTCACACTATGACACACTGCAATACACACTGCGTCACACTATGACACACTATGACCCACTATGACACACTGCAATACACACTGCGTCACACTATGACACACTATGACCCACTATGACACACTGCAATACACACTGCAATACACACTGCGTCACACTATGACACACTGCAATACACACTGTACACACTGCGTCACACTATGACACACTGCAATACACACTGTGTCACACTGCAACACACTATGACACACTGCAATACACACTGCGTCACACTATGACACACTATGACCCACTATGACACACTGCAATACACACTGCGTCACACTACACACTATGACCCACTATGACACACTGCAATACACACTGCACACTGCGTCACACTATGACACACTGCAATACACACTGTGTCACACTGCAACACACTATGACACACTGCAATACACACTGCGTCACACTATGACACACTATGACCCACTATGACACACTGCAATACACACTGCAATAAACACTGCATCACACTATGACACACTGCAATACACACTGTGTCACACTATGGCACACTATGACCCACTATGACACACTGCAATACACACTGCAATACACACTGCGTCACACTATGACACACTGCAATACACACTGCGTCACACTATGACACATTATGACCCACTATGACACACTGCAATACACACTGTGTCACACTGCGTTACACTATGACACACTGCAATACACACTGCGTCACACTGCGTCACACTATGACACACTGCAGTACACACTGCAATACACACTGCGTCACACTATGACACACTATGACCCACTATGACACACTGCAATACACACTGTGTCACACTGCGTCACACTACGACACACTGCAATACACACTGCGTCACACTATGACACACTGCAATACACACTGTGTCACACTGCGTCACACTATGACACACTATGACACACTGCAATACACACTGCGTCACACTATGACACACTATGACCCACTATGACACACTGCAATACACACTGTGTCACACTGCGTCACACTACGACACACTGCAATACACACTGCGTCACACTATGACACACCATGACCCACTATGACACACTGCAATACACACTGCAATACACACTGCGTCACACTATGACACACTGCAATACACACTGCGTCACACTATGACACACTATGACCCACTATGACACACTGCAATACACACTGCGTCACACTATGACACACTATGACCCACTATGACACACTGCAATACACACTGTGTCACACTGCGTCACACTATGACACACTGCAATACACACTGCGTCACACTATGACCCACTATGACACACTGCAATACACACTGCGTCACACTATGACACACTGCAATACACACTGCGTCACACTATGACACACTATGACACACTGCAATACACACTGCGTCACACTATGACACACTATGACCCACTGTGACACACTGCAATACACACTGCGTCACACTGCAACACACTATGACACACTGCAATACACACTGCGTCACACTGCAACACACTATGACACACTGCAATACACACTGCGTCACACTATGACCCACTATGACACACTGCGTCACACTATGACACACTATGACACACTGCAATACACACTGCGTCACACTATGACACACTGCAATACACACTGCGTCACACTATGACACACTATGACACACTGCAATACACACTGCGTCACACTATGACACACTGCGTCACACTATGACACACTATGACACACTGCAATACACACTGCGTCACACTATGACCCACTGTGACACACTGCAACACACACTGTGTCACACTGCAACACACTGTGACACACTGCAATACACACTGTGTCACACTGCAACACACTATGACACACTGCAATACACACTGCGTCACACTATGACACACTATGACACACTGCAATACACACTGCGTCACACTATGACACACTATACACACTGCAATCACACTGCGTCACACTATGACACACTGCAATACACACTGCGTCACACTATGACCCACTATGACACACTGCAATACACACTGCGTCACACTATGACCCACTATGACACACTGCAATACACATGCCACACTATGACCCACTGCAATACACACTGCGTTACACTATGACCCACTATGACACACTGCAATACACACTGCGTCACACTATGACCACTATGACACACTGCAATACACACTGCGTCACACTATGACACACTATGACACACTGCAATACACACTGCGTCACACTATGACCCACTATGACACACTGCAATACACACTGCGTCACACTATGACCCACTGCAATACACACTGCGTTACACTATGACCCACTATGACACACTGCAATACACACTGCGTCACACTATGACCCACTGCAATACACACTGCGTCACACTATGACCCACTATGACACACTGCAATACACACTGTGTCACACTATGACACACTATGACACACTGCAATACACACTGCGTCACACTATGACACACTATGACACACTGCAATACACACTGTGTCACACTGCAACACACACTGCGACACAGTGTGAAAAAAAGAAAAGCTACATAATAAGTCAGAACCGAAGAGCTGGTGTGTCCCAGGGGTGGTGCATGGTGCTGTGGGAAACCAAAAAGAGACTGGGCAGAGTTGGCAGCCATCTTAAATACATCTCAGCCAGGTTGAACAGGTGAGCCACATCTTCTGACGACCCTGGCCTTGGCTCCGCCCATAGACAGCCTGGAACTCAAACCAGCACAACACAACAGACACCCACAGGGTCGTCACAGACCTCATAGTTGTTCTCCTGGACACAAATGAGATGCTTTTAATACCAAGGTGAGACCAAAGGCCTTTTCTCCCACTTCTCAAATTCATCTCAGGAGAAACAACCATATAAAATCTAATTTATGTCTGACTCTGATCAAAACAAGAGATCTCTAACTGATCTTAAATAAGTCTAATTTAAGTCTCCTGAACGTTGTACCATGAGATCACAGAAAGAGCTCAAAGAAAACCCAGCTGCTGGGATCTCATGATTCTTCTCAAATATATCACAGTTTTCTCATATTGGCCTCAGGATCAAAAAACTCATCTCTGTCTTACTCTGACCAAAGGATGAGATCTCTGCAGGATCTTAAATTAGTGTAATTTCAGTCTCCAGAATGTGGATAAGAAAAAAAGCTCCAAGATATTTCTCAGTTTTGTCTTAGTGACCCCACTTAGGGGTTATTTTACTCAAGTACTTTACTTACGCCAAATGTTGAGTTGTTGTATTTGTTGTATTTATTGTTAATTATCTGTTACAAGTTACTGAGAAAAATAAAATAAATGTTGACATTGAAAATAATGCACTTTCATATGTCATGTTTTCCAATTTGTTAAAGGTTGTCAGCCAGCATAACTGGAACAGCCAATACTTTGACCTGATGTTTAGAGATTAATTCATTAAGGACCGAATGCACGCAAGAACTGAGATACAGCATTTATCTGTCATACAGAATAAGTACTTTTACTTTTGATACTTAAGTACGTTCACTATGGAATGAATACTTTTATACCTTTTACTTGAGTAGAATTTTGAGGACTTTAATTGTGGAGATGGGATTTCTCCTCTTTTATGTAAAGGAAACTTGTACTCTATTTAAAGACAATCAGTCCTTCACTGTCGTCGCCCTTTGAACAGACAGTAATGTGATACAATCAAGCTCACAAACATCTCTCCAGAGCTCCCAACTGCTCTTTAGGAGCAATAAGCAAGACATTAATGAACTCAGAAAGAGACAATGATGAGATCTCATCTGTTGCTTTCATTTATCCTACTGTAATCTCAATTCAGTATCCACTTGTCTTACCTAAGTCTCAAAACCTCAATCTCTCTTCATCTCATCCTTTTCTCTTAAGGGCTTTTAGGAGCAACAATTCAGATTGGAGTTTTTGACATACTGACATCTTAGTTTTTTAGTTTTCTTTTCTCAAGAGTTAAAGAAAAGAGCATGCAGCTAAACTCAGCTGAAGTTGTTTGTTACTTTGCAGATTTTATATAAAACATAAACTACTACAGCCCACTGTAGGTCCCCTCATCATCTTCATCATCACCACGTGTGCCTGTTTGTGTGGGAGGGAGGTATCGGGTCAGCAGGGAGGGCTGGTCTCTCCATCCTCAGAGAGGTGGGGGGGGGTCCGCACCGCCCTGCTGGATCCTTGTCTGCAGTCAGAGGCGCCTTCAGTTTGGCTGCAGGACCAGAGGCAGCAGCAGCAGCCGGTGCGCCAACATGCGGACTCAGAGCGGTGACCTGCGGGGCGCCGAGCTGTCTCACCGGGACCTGCTGACCGGAGAAGCTCGGGGCTGAGTGCGTCTCTTCTCCGGCAGGGATCCGGGTCATGGACTGTAAAGTTCCGCGGGGAAACTCCCTCCTGGTATCTCCCCCCCCCCCCCTCTCTCTCTCTGATCAGCCAGCAGCCGCCTGAAAGTTGCTGAGAAGTTTGTGAGCGTGTTGCGCCGCGGTTTCTGCCCCGGTGCGTCCGCTGCGCGCCTGGATATCTTCCTTCCAGACTCTCCGAGGGACCCCGGGGCGCGTTTCTGTTCCTTTGAGGAGGATTAACCGAGTATTGTGACTGTGTCTCACCTGGAGCTGCTCTGAGGAGATGGATAACTCCTGGTATTTCTTGCCTGTGATAATGCTCGTTCTGTCTGCGGGCTTCAGGATAGAGGAGGGCATGTGCCAATCCCAATATCAACTCCGTCCCATTCCCAGTGACACTCTGCCCTTAGTGGAACTAAGGGAGGAACCGGATCCTCTGCTGGACCCTAGGGAGAAGGATCTGAACGAGACAGAGCTCCGGAGCACTCTGGGCAGCCACTTCGACCCGCACATCATGTCCGTCTCCCCGCCGGAGGACAAGTACGCGGGGAACGAGGACGTGATCGAGGCGGACCTGCGGCAGAAGCTCTCCGGAGCGATGCCCAAAGAGATCCGGACCATGGACTTCGAGGTCCAGCACGGAAAGAAGCAGAAGCCGGGTAAAAAACTCCGGAGAAGACTGCAAATGTGGCTGTGGTCTTACAGCTTCTGCCCGGTGGTTTCCGCGTGGACCGACCTGGGCTGCAGGTTCTGGCCGCGCTACCTGAAGGTGGGGAGCTGCTACAATAAGCGGTCTTGTTCGTACCCTGAAGGGATGGCCTGCAAACCTGCCAAATCGACTCATTTTACGATCCTGCGATGGCGCTGCCTGCAGAAAAAAGGGGGTCTGAAATGCTCCTGGATCCCTGTTCTGTACCCGATTATATCAGAGTGCAAGTGCTCCTGCCCGACCTCGAACTGAGTCTGTGTGGCTGCGAAACTGGACGAGTCTCTCCGATCAAACTGTAATGATTATTTTTATACACAAGCAGCAGAACATCCCGATGTTTAAACTCAAGTCATAAAAACTTGTTTTCTTGCAACAAAGTGAAGAAAAAAATCACCTCTGAATCTTTTCCCGGTTTGTTTTAATCCCCTGCTCTGCAAAAACATTCAGTAAAAACTGTCACTTATGTTTAAAGATAATCAGATTTTAAGGCTGAATCTGAGATGACTTGTTGTTCTGCACTGTCCAGGGGAAGAATGTATATTTGAGTACATGTTTTTATTTTATGACAGAACTTTGTATAAACAGGAAGCTCAGTGTTTTTAATATAATCACATCTACTGTGCCTGTTAAATGTATCTGGACTGTATCTGTTTATATTTATAAAGAAGAACCCAAATGTTCAAATTGAAGATGAATTTATGGACCTCAGCATGGAAATATGAAGAGTTCAGATAGATCCAGTTCAGAAACTGATCTGAGCACAGATGAAGGTACCTTTTTAAAAACAGAAACCAGGAGGACAGACTGGATGTTATTACTCAGAATCTTCATCAACACGTCTCATCTTCAGATGCTGTAAAATAAAAAGGGACAGCTGGTCTTTAAACTCAGAGACCTCAGACTCTGTGTTGATTCTTAGTAAGTGGAAGTACTCAGATACTTCAGTACAAGTACTAATACCACAGCAGTATAACCTAAAGCCAGGGGAGGCAGTGTTATTTCAGAAGCGCGTTTTGTTCTGTGTGTTGAAATTCACTTTACATTCGGACACAGATCAATAAATCAAATGCGCTGGTTTCTCGTAACCTAAGTAAAAGTAGAATCAGTAAAATGTCCTTCAAGTATTGAAGCTGTAAAACGTCCCTGTGCCTGTTGTACTGTTATATATTCTGTCACCAGTGGACAGTTACTCAAGTACTGTACTTCAATACAAATTTGAGGTACTTTACTTGAGTATTTTTCTACTTCTACTCTGCCACATCTCAGAGGGAGATATTGTACATTTTTTCTACATTTATCTGACAGCTTCCGTTACTTTACAAAGTCAGATTTTTACACACACACACGCAAGAAGATTTTATAAAATATGATGTTTAGTTATAAATTAAACTCCAACAGCTTCTAAAGTACTACTGAAACGATTAGTCTATTAACGGCAACTATTTTGATAGTTTAAGTTATATTTATTATATTATAAGTTATATTTTATTGCTAAAACATTTCACGGTTCAGCTTCACAAATGTGAAGATTTGCTGCTTTTCCTCTGAGTGATTGTAATACCTGTAATGTATAACATAAATAATAATGATATAATATAACAATGGTGAATAACTGTGAATCTTTACAAACCAAAGCTCAGTCGATCGATGGAGGAAATAATCAGCAGATTGATCCTGAATGAAAAGAATCGTCAGCAGTTACCCAAAGTGACGCCTTCACGACACTCGTTGTGACGGAAACCTTCAGAAACTCATTCATTTATAACAAGACTTAACGTTTTGTGTGTAAAACTCTTAATTTGTAAAGCTGTCAGATAAACACAGTAAAGTAAAATGTAAAATATTATAATTATTGTACTAAAGAAGACAAAATAATAAATAAAATGGAGAAAATAATGAATATTAAATACAATATTGTTCTTTTACTGCATATTTTTACCTCTTCTAAAGATTTTCATAGCATTTCTAAGCAGTACACAAACCTGTACTACACAGGTTATAACACTGTAATGGTAATACACTCAGTTTATTAGGTACACATACAGTTCTTGTTAAAAGAGATCCAACAGGGTTTATTAAAACTCACACAAGCTGCTCTCTAAACAGATGATAAATAACAACACAGTAATAATTATATGTCTTTGAGACCTTTTTATAATATTGTATATTATGAACTCTTAATAAAGTGGAAACACAGAAGTCTCCTGGATAATTAAACCAGTCTAAATACTACAATACCCATGAGCCTCAGCTGACATGAATCAGTACCAAATGCAGAGACAAAACATCTGAATTCAGGTTTTCATCGGGTCACAGCACGCCGCCGAATCTGAAGCGCTCTGATTGGACGTTTCTTGCCAAAATGCACTTCTAACTCAGATGTTCAGATAAATGATCCGTAGATTCTGTTTGAAAGATGCTGCATCAGATGTTCTGCCATTTTCGTTGTAGTTCATACTTCATTTCTGTATCCTGTCTCCGGCTCTGAGGAGGACAACGTGAGCAGAGTTACATAACTGAGCTCTGACACGGTCGTTCTGTTGTGCGTAGAGAACGACCGGTCGGTCAGTTCAAAGAACAGGAAATCTTAATTGGTTTCCGTGCTGCAGGTTCAAAGCACTTCAGAATGTTTCATCCGACTCGTCTCGTGATTTAAGGTATGCGAGAGATTTCATTGAAGCCCCCGTCGTGTCCTTGACTCTGTTAGAGTTCCCAGCAGACGCTTAAGTTTAAACCAACCATCAGCCAGAGCCTCTGATCTTAAAGCTGGAGGAGACACTTGAATTCAGAAGACTGTTCTGTTTTGTTCGTTAAAAGCTCTGACGCAAGAAAGTTATTACACAGTCCGTAGTTGTAGAGCTTCTTCTGGACCAGCGCAGACGAGAGGAGGACGTGACGTCCCGGCAGAGCGACCGGATCCTGATGTGGACACTGGAGATCTGGCGTCCTGCAGATCTCTGCTGCTCAGATCAATATTTGCCTCTGAGATTACTTTCCACCACCAGTTGGTCCTCTCACATGTTCTCCTCTACCTACTGGTGTGTTGGATCTCCTGCTGCAACCGTCCAAGAACTAGGAACAATCCCACAGTAGTATAACTCAACAATTTATGAGTTTAAAGCGGCTGTAATCCAGATTTTTATACCAACAGTGTAAAACATGTCCGGGTGGCTCTCTGTTCAGCCTCAGCAGGCCGTGGGTGGAGGTGTTTCAAATAGACTCTTATCACAGCAGGTATTCAGGTCGAGGTCGAGCCCGGCTTTGATGTGTGTCCGGTGGCTGGCACCTTGTTGAACTTCTGACCCTGCAGACTCACAACTGCTGTCGGATGTGATGCTTCTCCAGGCTCACACAGTTTATTAGTACAACATAGTAGAAGTAGTAGTAGTATTATCACGTATATACATATTTGTTATGTGTCTTTTAACAGTATATTTTTAAGAATGAACGTTTCTTGAGGATTGTCGTTCTCGAGGAACGGCACGAACAGCGGTTATGATTTTGCTGCAGATGTGACGGCTTCTGCTCCTAAGAATCAGATACAGAGAGCTCCCGTTGAATAAACATCTGCTCATCAGCTCAGCACAAACATTTATTTTGGTTGTAAAGTTTAAAAGTGTTTTAGAAACAAAGCTGCTCAGAGGAAACTGTGTGTCTGTGTTGCATTGTTGGAACTATGTGGACTTTTCTGTAGGCAGACACTTTAATGTTGTGAGTGTATGTATCCTGCATAGTGTTTCTTTGTTGGTGCTTCTCAGTTTGCTTGTGTTCTATTAATTTATTTAATAATACTTTAGTTGCTCTTTTTAGCTGGCTGACAGTAGAATACTTACAGCGGAAGAAGACGTTAACATACAGGGGAAACAACATTGTGATTAAGAGACTCAGAAAGTATTTTCTTATTAACATTTTCTAATAAATATGTAGTACTCGTCAATATTAATATACTGTATATTCTTGCTGTTGCCGGGGAAGAAGGGCGCTCCTTTACAAGCTTTGTTAGACAACATACAGTATAAAGAATATCCATAAAATATCCATAAAAACTTTTTTAAATGTGACTTTGTGGTAACACTATGAGTAGGATGAGACGGAGGTTAGAGCCCCGACGCCTCGGCACCAGGACAACAACCTCCATCTCAACGCCAGCTAAACAATGGAGCAGATTGTGGACTTTCAGCCGGTCCTCACCCAGAAAACAACAACATAGGTCAGTAGTTGAACAGCTTAAAACGACTGAATTTAACATTATGAGCGACCTCTTGTGGCCAAGTGATGAAGTGCGTGTGAAGTTTCAGGGAAAACACTGGGTATGCAACATAAATAACCAGAAAATTCCTATTTTGGAGGTGGTGGTGGGTGGGGTGGATGGTTAGGTGATCAGGCGACCTTCTCCCAGGAGCTCGGTTCCCGTGTGAAACAAAAAGCCAACATCAGTTTTTTAGTATTATTAGCATGAGCTAGCTAGTGTTAGCAATAATTTCTGTGTTTTTTTTTAGTTTTGTGGCGTTTCATATAGCCTTAGCTAGCTAGTGTTAGCAATAATTTTGGTGGGATTTTTTTGAGTTTTGTGGTGTTTCATGTAGCCTTAGCTAGCTAGTGTTAGCAATAATTTTGGTGGGGTTTTTTTAGTTTTGTGGCGTTTCATGTAGCCTTAGCTAGCTAGTGTTAGCAATAATTTCTGTGTTTTTTTTTAGTTTTGTGGCGTTTCATATAGCCTTAGCTAGCTAGTGTTAGCAATAATTTTGGTGGGATTTTTTTAGTTTTGTGGCGTTTCATGTAGCCTTAGCTAGCTAGTGTTAGCAATGATTTTGGTGGGATTTTTTTAGTTTTGTGGCGTTTCATGTAGCCTTAGCTAGCTAGTGTTAGCAATAATTTTGGTGGGATTTTTTAGTTTTGTGGCATTTCATGTAGCCTTAGCTAGCTAGTGTTAGCAATAATTTCTGTGTTTTTTTTTAGTTTTGTGGCGTTTCATGTAGCCTTAGCTAGCTAGTGTTAGCAATGATTTTGGTGGGATTTTTTTAGTTTTGTGGCATTTCATGTAGCCTTAGCTAGCTAGTGTTAGCAATAATTTCTGTGTTTTTTTTGAGTTTTGTGGCGTTTCATATAGCCTTAGCTAGCTAGTGTTAGCAATGATTTTGGTGGGATTTTTTTAGTTTTGTGGTGTTTCATGTAGCCTTAGCTAGCTAGTGTTAGCAATAATTTTGGTGGGTTTTTTTAGTTTTGTGGCGTTTCATGTAGCCTTAGCTAGCTAGTGTTAGCAATGATTTTGGTGGGATTTTTTTAGTTTTGTGGCATTTCATGTAGCCTTAGCTAGCTAGTGTTAGCAATAATTTCTGTGTTTTTTTTGAGTTTTGTGGCGTTTCATATAGCCTTAGCTAGCTAGTGTTAGCAATAATTTTGGTGGGATTTTTTTTAGTTTTGTGGTGTTTCATGTAGCCTTAGCTAGCTAGTGTTAGCAATGATTTTGGTGGGATTTTTTTAGTTTTGTGGCATTTCATGTAGCCTTAGCTAGCTAGTGTTAGCAATAATTTCTGTGTTTTTTTTGAGTTTTGTGGCGTTTCATATAGCCTTAGCTAGCTAGTGTTAGCAATAATTTTGGTGGGATTTTTTTTAGTTTTGTGGTGTTTCATGTAGCCTTAGCTAGCTAGTGTTAGCAATGATTTTGGTGGGGTTTTTTGAGTTTTGTGGCATTTCATGTAGCCTCATGTAGTGTTAGCAATAATTTTGGTGTTTTTTTTTTAGTTTTGTGGCATTTCATGTAGCCTTAGCTAGCTAGTGTTAGCAATAATTTTGGTGGGTTTTTTTGAGTTTTGTGGCATTTCATGTAGTCTTAGCTAGCTAGTGTTAGCAATAATTTTGGTGGGGTTTTTTTGAGTTTTGTGGCATTTC